AATGACTAAGTACAAATGCAAAATCCAATTAAAATCAGTGACTTAAATCAAGGTTTCCTGCTTGCTGTATTAAAACATGGTTAAAGTTGGTGATTTAAACTGCTTTGGTTTAAATCAGTCCATATCTCATGTGTGTGGTTCACAAGTCCCGTTCTTCTCCTTCCTTTGGCTGGAATGGAACCACACAGTACTAAAGCAGTGGGAAGACCAAATATCTACCTTCACCTGGAAAAAGAGACCTGAAATATTTCCCTTTTCAGTGGTCAACAGCTGCTGCCGAAGTACAGGAAAAGAACATAGGTGTGGGCTACCTCCAGGCCCTTGGGCGCTCTACCACACCCCCCTCCACTCTGCCCCAGCTCTGTCCCCCAGCCACTCCCATCCCAGAACACCCACCCCATTTCTTCCCACCCTCACTGTGCCCCTTCTCCCAAGGAACTCAGCCCTAGCCTTACTCCACTCTGCCATCTCCCAGCCAGGCCATGTCACCTCACTGTGCTTGCTTCGGGGAACATAACAGGCAGGGGCCAGCATGCTCTACTTCCCATCGCTGCAGTGAAGCAGAGCGACCAGGCTGGGAAGTGGTGGAAAAGAGCAGGCAGTTGGATCACTCCACTTCCCGTAGCTCTTGCAGCCCCTGGTGAGTGTGTGGGTGGGCCCAACCTTTGCTGCCCACCACAAGCCCCCCAGATAGTCCCTCAGGCCACACTGGTCCCGTGGGGCTCCCCCGAAGTGTGGGGCTCAAGGTGGCCACCCCGAGCCATCCTGTGCTGACACTGACAGTTCAGTTGGTGCAAAGCGCTCCTGGTGACGATAGGCATCGTTGACGCATGCACTCCCTCCTGCATCCACAGCCACCTGCCCCAGCCCTGAGCCCCCTCCTGCAACCTAACTCCCTCCCAGAGTCTGCACCCCACAGCTGCACCCCAGCCTCCTACTACAAGTCAGAACCCCCTCTCACACCTCAGCATCCACCCATACAGTTCACTCTTACCATCTCCTGGCCTGAGCCCCCTCCCACAATCAAACTGCCTCCCAAACCCTTCACTCTGACTTCTACCCCAGTTCTGAGCCTGCTCTCACACACCAAATCCCTTGGGGTATGTCTACACTACCCTCCTATTTCGAAGTAGGAGGGTAATGTAGGCATACCGCACTTGCAAATGAAGCCCGGGATTTGAATTTCCCGGGCTTCATTTGCATAAGCCGGGCGCCGCCATTTTTAAATCCCGGCTGGTTCGAACCAGCTTCCTAGTTCGAACTACTGTTACTCCTCGTGGAATGAGGACCCATTATTTTATTTACTCGTGGAATGAGGAGTAACGGTAGTTTTAACGAAATTCAAATCCCGGGCTTCATTTGCAAGTGCGGTATGCCTACATTACCCTCCTACTTCGAAATAGGAGGGTAGTGTAAACATACCCTTGGCCTCCACCCAGAGCCCCCTCATGCCCAGCCCCATGTCAGAACTTTTGAGTACCTGCTTACCTGCTGCAGGTGAAGCCCTGAGCTTCAGTGACCTTTCCTCCCCTATGGTGCTGTGTGTGGCCTGCGATTAATTTTGGCTGTGGGGTAATGGTCTGTGATAGATAAATGATTCTCTATCCCTGCCCTATGACAACCCAATTCCTGTTTCCCTGATACACTTTTGTTGGATGCCTCAATCTGGGTGTGTCACGTGCCTGCAGGCCACCTGTAGACTGAAGCATTTTCACAACCTGTCCCAGGAGACCCGTCAACCCAGGGGGACATATCCAAACACATCCCCGAAACCCCATTCTTTCCCACCACCGCCCTACCCCTAACCTATGGCACCTCGCTCCCCAAGGGAACTGGCCTTTGGGATTATTATGGGGGCAGGGGAAAGGGAGCCTGCAGCAGTCAGGCCCTCCTGTCATGCCATGGAAAGTGGAGGGAGTGCACTCACCGTGTGTGCTCCGTTTCCCTGTGGCTCCTGCCACTGCAGAGATTAGAGTGGGGACCAACTTCTGCTGACACCGTGAGCCAGGCCCCCTTAGTAATTCCTGAGATCGGGTCCCTCAGGGGATAGGGTGCCATAGAAGGAGAGGGCATGGCAGTGGCAGGAAGGGGAGTGGCTTAGGGGGACCGGTTCAGGCACATCCCCGGACCAGATTGAAAATATACTCCAGCTTATAAATGGCCATGGGTAGGGTTGCCAGATACTTTCACAAAAAATAGCGGACATGGGGAAAAAAAGTGGGGGGGAACGGGGGACCAAAGTTGTTGAGAGGGGAAAAAAAGCACCGCGTGCAAAAAAAAAAAAAAAAAAAGTCACTGCGCCTTTAAATCTCTACGCTCCCTACTCCCCTCAGCCCCACCAGATGCGAAATGTTCCAAATGGCCTTCCATCTGAGAAAAACAGAAAATACCAGACATTTTACATGTCCGGTATTTTCTGTATTTTTTACTGGACAGAGGTTGCAAATACTGGACTGTCCAGGCCAGTACCAGACACCTGGCAACCCTACCCAGGGGCTGGAAGTTTGAGACCCCTATTTTAAATAAATCTCTGTCCCTCTGGTATCAGCACCTCCTACTGTCCAGAGCCCTGCACTCAACCCAGACACCTGCACCTCCAACCCCACCCCTTACCAGAGCCTAGCCATAGGTTACACCCACATCTCATACACCTGCACCTTTTCCTCTCCCTCAGAGTCCAGCTACAGGGCATCCCCCCTCAGAGCACAGGGAGTCAGGGAGAAAAATAGCCTGATCTTGGGTCCTAGGCTTGAATAACACTTCCTGTACTCAGCCTCCTTCCTTCAGGATGTGCCAGGAACTGCAGCTTCTAGGAACCCTCCAGCTCCTTCTCTGTCTTTCTCTGACAGTGTCCTGTCTTAGGAGATGGAAACACAGACTCTGCTGGGTCCAGCGGCCCCTAGTGGTGACCAGCACCTGTGCAGCACTAATTCTGTCCAGAAAAATGAAATTCTGCACAGGACATTAATTCTGCACATTTTCTGCATTCACAGTGGCATGAAATCCCCAAAGGAGCATGAAATATAGACACAAACAAGCAGTGTAATTACTTCACTGGCTGTATGCTGCTGTTGACTTAATTTTGTAGTGTAGATATGTCCTGAATATGTTTTCCAGATCTGTTGAAAAGCTCTGTGTAAGTGTGAAAGCTTGTCTTTCTCACCAGCAGTAGTTGGTCTGAGAAAAGATATCACCCATAACCTCACCCATCTTGTCTCTCTAATTCTATTTCCAAACTGTGAAGAGCCTGAGGACCTTTTAAAATTTCTTCCAGAGCAAATCAGCCAAAAAAAATTGTATTGTTTGTTACATTGTGGTAGACCTATTAACCACTAGTATAATTTAAATAGATCTGTATTATCTTAGGCAGATTGTAGGCTATAGTCTATACTTAAAATGCTGTCTGTGGCACAGTTGCAGCTGTGTTGAGGTAGCATCATAAGTGCAGACACTTATTACAGTGACAGGTGGGATTCTCCTGTTGCTTTATGTAATTCACCAAGAGGTGTTAGGTAGATCAAAGGAAGGATTATTCCATCAAAACTACATCTGTCAACATTATGAGTTCTGTTAGTTTAACTACCTCTGTCAGGGGTGTGGAAATTTCTCCTGGATTGGAATTTTTTAAGAAGGCACTTGTTCTTGCTTTACATATTTGCTGCCAGGAGAGAGAACCCTTGGAAGCATAAAATGCTTATGAAGCTGCAAAAGGCAAAATGTAATTTCCATTAAAAGACACATAAACCTCATAGCTTAGTTTAGCTTTCTTGACTGTATGAATAAAACCAGTCATGTTTATTGTGGCAACATTGTTAATAGTGAAAGTTATGATTCCTAACATCAGATCTAAAGTTTAATGTCTGCTTTAATAAAAGAAGGCAAAAGTAATGAAGGAAAGACCAACACTGCCGTCTTACTAATTAGATGCAATTAAAAAAATGTGTCTGTTTTCAGTGTCAGTTTCATTATTGGTGTTTTCTTGCTACAGTTATAGAAGACACAAAGCAATTGTCTACAGCTTATGTCAGCATAACTTGCATTACTCAGGGATCCACCCCAGTGACGTAAGTTTATACTGCGATAAGCACCAGTGTGGACAGTGCTATGTTGGCAGGAGAGCTTCTTCTAACGCCTCTTGTAGAGAGGATTTCATTGTGTCAACAGGAGAGCCCTCATCTCCATCAGATGTGGTACAGTAGCACCAGTGTAATGCAGTGTGTGTAGATGTTCACATAGAGGTTTTCTGAAATAATTTTTATGACAAGAAATACTGTTTGGATGAGGGTATAGCTTCTAATTTGTAGTAATTAATTCAGATGAATACTAGAGGATATTAAAATGCATTTATTATGTTAAACATGTAACCATGGAAAAATTTCAATGGTCACACATTTACACGTGGGGGGACTCCCGGAGAGCCAGTGCTTGCAGGAAGCCAGCTTTTAAGCCATCTCCCTGTGAGCACTGGCTCCTGTCTGGCCTCCTGCTCCTCTCATTTCCCCCCTCCCTCGCACAGCTGTCTCTGATACAGAGACAGCAGTAGAGAGGGTCGGGGGGCTGAGGAGCTGCATGTAATCCTGAAGGTTAACCGATGAATCCAGGTTAATCCTCCTCGGTTAATCATTTACATGTTTACACTTTCACATCCCTAAAAAATACTAAAAACAATCTCTTCAAAATGTTATTTTACAGTGTGGTATATGGTCAAAATGGTATTTTCTCTCTTGAGGTATAAGTCAAAAGACTGACTTTTGCATTTTTACTTTGTAAAGCCATTGTTAGTATATCCTGTATTTTATATAACTATCGTTTGTAATGTGGTATGTGAGAAGTTGCTACATATAAAATAGAAGTTGCTTTCGGAGGAACATAATATGAACTGTTCATTCAGGTAGAGAAAGTTGACTGTAATCAAAATTGTTTCATTTTCCTGTACTAAGTGTTTTTCTTACTTTGCACTAAAATGAACTTAGAATGAAAATGTTTGGGATGCATTACAGAAGCCTCTTTTGAGAAGCATCTTAACTACCCAGAACCATTTGGATGCCTTCAGAGGGGCCTTTCTACAGTGTTTCCCACCATGTATTGGAATAGACTGTGGGGCTATGGTAAGTAATGCAAATACTTGCTTACAACTATCCGTACATTTTAAGCCAGAGTACAAGTGTTTGACAAATATATTTGTCCTCATTACATTGGATTTTCTCCTCTGAGACCAAGATATGGTATTCCAAGATCATTCATCCACGCTACAAAGCAGTTTTATGCTTGGTAATGAGAATGAATGAAGCAAGTTTAAAAAATTAATCCAGTGTTGATGGTTTTCAATTTCCTATTGCTTGTTTTTACTCTATTTTAAAATAGTAATATTGCTGTCACTACTGTCACTTATTTTAACAAACTAATTGCTTAGATTGAGACAGGGATATTATAAAACATTGTATTTTGCTTACAAATAGCACAGAAATTAAGAAAAGTCCTTCTAGATTGGGCAGAAATTAATGTGCAGATGTGAGTGAGCTTTCCAAATGTGATCAGCTATTTTTAGATATGTAGGAAAATACATACTTTTTCTGGATAACAGATTTGTTGTGTTTCACTAGAAGAAATAAGTTGTCATTATGTAAGCATACAGAAGGTATATCAGAATTGATATCTGTCTACACAATTCTCAGGGCAAGTAACAACTGCAAAGTGAGAGATTGCTGTTCTAGAGTGTATCTGCAGTGTTATCAAATTAAACCTCAATTCTTGCCAAGACAAACTTTTACAAAATGCAGTAGTTCAGGGAAAATACTTGACACATTATTAAATACTTGGATTTATTTTTGATAGATGTTTCCCATCCTTATTGTGGGAAATTATTCAGGAGTGTAACTGAAAATGAGGTTTTTATTTTGGCTGACCGGTTACACAGACCAGTCATATTAGGACTCCATCCTGCAAGGTGCTAAGTACTGTTATTTGTCATTCTATTTAGTGGGAGTTTTGGCAAAACCAGGAATGTAGAATCTGGCCTATGATGGATATGTATGAGAATTTTTTTATTTACATAGCATATTTTCATATTTATTTGGGCTGCAGGATAACACATCAAATATTAGACTGTCTGAGAACAGTAGATACCAGTAAAGTTTTTGTATGATTGTGCATGCAAGAGGGGGTTTTGGAACACTTTGATAAACTAAATAGTAATAAGTCACCAGGACCAAGTGGGTTTTACCTAGGAGTTCTGAAGGAACTCAAATGTGACATTACAGAACTACTAACTGGTTTGTAATATATTAGCGTCCATACCAATGACAGGATAGCTATTATGACACCAGTCCTTTAAAAGGGCTCTAGAGTTTCAGTTACAGTTCAGTAAGTCTGACTTCAGTATTGGGCAAACTAGTTGAAATTATAGCAAACAACAAAATTATCAGACACATAGGAAAGTGTCAGCATGGTTCTGGGAAAAGGAAATCCTGCATCCCCAATCTACTAGAATTCTTTGGGGAGGGGGAGTCATTAAGCGTGAGGACAAGGGGGATCCACTGGATGTAGTGTCTAGAAAGCCTTTGACAAAGTCCCTCACCAAAGGTTCTTAAGCAAAGTCAGCTGTGATGGGGATAAGACATGGATTGGTAATTCATTCTGTGTTATAATAAAGTTTTATTTTTGATAAACTTATCTCTTTTTCTTATGTGTTTTTGTGATTTTTTTTATTTTGTGATTGACTTTTGAACTTTTAACAAATGTATTACCTTTGAATTCATAGACAGTATTTTCTCTCCATTAACAAGCAAATATATTGCTCAGTAACTTGATTTGTGGAAATCGAGAAAGAATTACTGCTTGGAGTGCACCTCAATGATTCCTATTTTCTTACAGATAAAATTCACTTATGCTCTTAAATAGCTGGAAACCCCAAGGGCCACCCATTTATAGAATTTTTCATTTAGCAATGCAGTTGTTCTTATGTTGTTAAGTATCATCTCTTGAAAATGTTTGTGTATAATTGTTGTTGGTATAAAATTATCCATGTTGTGCATATCTTTTTTTGGTCAACATGGTCCACAGTGTGAATAATAACTTGCAACACATCCGTGTTTCTCCCCAGTTTGCTAATGACTCAACAAATAAACAGTCCTGAGAAGGGTGGGGAGTGACCCCATGAGTGTTTCCTCCTTTAGATCTTAGGGTTCTCCTGTCACCCCTGCTAGGCCACTCTGGTAGTACTGCTTCTCTGCTTCTCTTCCCACAGGACTCTAGAGCCCTGCTCTCCAGGTGTCCCTATTCATAAGGAGCAGGAAGCATTGAGTGCCACGTAACTACTCTGTCTGCCCCTTTTCTGACCAGCTGTAAGCCTGACTCACCCAAGCTCCCCCTCTCAGGGTCTTTCTCACTTGGTCTCCCTCTAAGTTCAGGTACATTCTTTTAACATTCAGCTGGGGTCAGCTGACCAGTCATAGGTAAACTCACCCTACTCCCTCTTAAAGGATCAGTGTCAGCCTTTGACAATACTACAAACCAGGGGGCTTTTAGAGGTGTAAGGAAACAAAACAAATATGCCATATCTACTATATATTTTGGAGAATTTGTGTGTCATTTCTTTATTCAGTCATGTCCCTGTGTCCATCCATCTGCGGGTCCACCTGTTCAAGAGCTCATCCTAAACAGGAAAAACTTAAAAAACAATAAATAGTCTAGCCGTGCCTTAAAGACTAACAAAACATGTAGATGGTATCCTGACCTTTTGTGGGTACAACCATGAGCCCACGAAAGCCCAGGATACCATCTACATGTTTTGTTAGTCTTTAAGGCGCTGCTAGACTATTTGTTGTTTTTTAAGTTTTTCCTGTTAACATACTAACTTGGCTACCCCGCTGAAGCTTTCCTCCTAAACAGTAAGAGCTAGGTCCACCAAATTTGGTGTACAGATTCCTCTTAGCATAGCATAAAGCAAGGTAAGGGTTTGTTTGTGCCAGGACAATGGCATGTACCTGGAATTCAATTGTTTCCTCATAAAATGGAAATAGAAGAGTCTGGTAGGAGAGAGTTATACTGCAGGATGAACACAGGGAAGCAGCAAGGAGCCAAGATGGAGACTGGGACAGCTATAACCCCATTGGGCTAGCTGGGGGCAGGAGTGGAGAGAGACAGTTATATACACTATATATTTCACCCCATTGTGCCAGAAGAGTACTGGGGTGAAGATAGGAACCGCTATCTACTATATATTTCAGAGAGTTTGTCTGTTTGTTTGTGTGTTGTTTGTCTGTGTGTCTGTCTGTCCCCTAGCCAGGGGACATGTACCCCTCCCCTGGCTATGCCCACTGCAACAGCCATGGACAGGTGCTTCTCACTTGGCCCAAGCTGCTGTGGTTGAGAGAGGGCTGTGGTAGTCCTCTCTCTCTAGGGCAGCCTGCATACTGAACCCTCATCCCTAGCCCCACCCCGGAGCAATGATTTAAATGAAGTAAAACAAAATGTATTTGAGTTAAGGACCTGAGCAATGCAGGGCAAATCTTCTATTTGATAAATAAAGACGTTGCATATCTAATTTCTATGTAGAATTGTCTACACAAAATAGGCACCGTATTCATCTGCTAGCCTTCACAATTGTTTATTTTTTTTATTCAGTCATGTTAACTGCACATGGAAAGTGTAGTCCAGATCTTGCAACAGATAGCAGCACACAAATGGACTTCAGTGGGAACTCAGTAGATTCAATTGTTTGTCTGTGCACTATCAATTGAAAGATTGGATCTTAAGTGAGGCAAATGAGCAAGTTTTCTATGACCAACTGCCTACTTAGTTACTTAGATGCATATTAAATTACTCGAGGTAAATGTACAATGGATTTTTTTTCAGATAGCATGGAGATCTGAGTGTGGAATAGACAGGGATATGATTCTGGAGGCAGAAGTTGAATTGATTAACTTGTTTGCAGAAATTCTGTTTTTCAATGCAGAACATTATGAAAACATATACAAATTTGGCTATCTGAAAATAGCTTCTCTGTGTGAGAGAGAGAATGAGTGAGTGAGAGAGAGAGAGAGATGTCTAGGAGAAAAACAGCATTTGTCTCACTTAATATACCCAAGCAAAGAAGCAATAAAAATTCAGCTTAATTCAGAAGGTCATGCAAAAGGTAGTTATTGTTGTAGACCAATGATATTTTATTTGTACTGAAAATCCCACCTTGTAGAAGCTGTCTATTAAAATGATACATGTCAATAGTATTAGCTAAAATGTAGCTTCCATGGATTATGGACCTAATTCTGTTAATGAAATCTGGCAAATCCTCTCTTACGATGCCCCATACATATTACAGATTTTTTCTTGGTGCACATTTGATCACTATGTTTATGTCTACACAGCAGTATTATTTTGGAATAACTGTCATTATTCTGAAATAACATAGTCTGCATCTACACAGCGAGCAGTTATTTCGACATAATGTCAAAATAATATTGAGATGGAGGACTTTTTACTCTAACTTCTATAGCCCTCATTTTACAAGGAGCAAGGGAAGTCGTAGGAAGAGTGCTCTGACTCAGACTTCCTGCTGTGTAGACAGCACCAAAAGCTGAAATAAGCTATTTTGACTTAAGTTACGCAGTTTACGTAGATCAAGTTGCATAGCTTATTTCGGCTTTAGCCCGGCTGTGTGGATGTACCCTATAATACCTCTGTGCACTTCCATACTGCTTTCTCTCCAATGATCTCAAAGCACTTTATCAACATGAACGAGTTAAGCCTTCAACACCCTTGTTAAACAGTTGAGTAGTTGAGTATGTGAGGAACAAAGAGGTTAAGGAGTAGAAAGTACCTTTAGGTGCTGTCCTGAAAAAGGGATAATGTATAAGCGGAACTCTCCAAGAGTAGCACTGGCAGACACTGGACCTCAGAAATGTAACTGAATCACATTTGCTCCCAGAGGATATTAATTTTCAGCTGATCTGTACCAGTAATTAATGATCATCCTCCTTGTGCTGACTCAGCTGCAGTGGCCAGCAAATTAGAAACATTAAACAAGACTGTATCTCAGCTGCCCACTTTCTAATCTAGGAAAGGAATAAGCGGACAGAGAATTCCATCTGTGCACCTGGACCTAATGAGC